CATTTGAGGTAATGTTTTATTCTTTTATTAGCTAACTTAAATCCTTCTCATAAACAGAGCCAGTAATATAAAGGGCAATATTGGCCTATTTGAATGTTTAGCTGACATTTGCTAACTAAAAAATGGCTTTTGGATTTGGGGGTGGGAGGCGGGATTAGACCTTTTCACTGCTGTGTGAATATTATCTTCACTAAATTTACAGAAGATCTAGATTCTAAAGCTAATTCGCTTAAATTTGCGGGCTTTAACTCTAAGTCACTAAATTTTGCGGACTTTTCACGGCTGTGTGAGAATTATCTTCACTAGGTCCTAGTGATTTCAAGTAAATCTAGAGTCTAGATATAAGTCACTAACAGGGTTTCTGCACCAAAGTCTAATTGAAATTCAAGGAGAAATTAAGAAATTCCAGGACATAAAATTCGCACCAAAAATTTTTAAAAATATTTATAGCCCATATATATATAGAGAGGTTGGAATAACTTAGATTTGATTACTAAATAAAAATAACTTACTCAAGATATTAAAAACATGCAAAAAATACATTATAAACTAGTATGAGTGTAAGGCCTACCATAAAACGCATCTTGAACATCCATTCTTTACAATATATTTACATATATACAAGGGTTTTTAATGTTTTTTAAAGTCCACTGATCTCCCTCACTTTGGTTTCGATTTCCAAAGTAAGTTTTTCAATATGCTCTTTTTTAAGCTTTGCAGAGCGACGTAAAGCATTGGATTCTATTAAAAATGTGTGACTGTTAGTGTTTTCTGCTTTTTCTGCAAGCTTGTCCGCAGAGACAGTGAGGCTTGTAATGTCCCTTTCGAACCTAGCTTTTTTGGCTTTCATAGCCTCAAGTTCTTCAAACTGATCGTTTCTTTTCCTTTTTAGGTTCTTTCTTTTTTCCTCCTCAGCCCTTTCTTCTAGATAAATTCTATACTTTGATCTGGCTGAAGCAGCAGCCAGTCGCATGCCTGAAGTAATTGATACATTTTTAATTCCTCCCATTGCTTCAATGCTGTTACAAATCATTCTCTTGGCTATAAGAGTTCTCTCCATCATGTTGACGCACATTGTCTCTTTTGACCTGGGCTTGGCCATGAGACAGAATCAAAATTCCTCTCATTAGTGCCCATAGTTTACTGAATTCACTGTTAATATGTTGGTTAAAAAAAGTATCCAGTCTATCACATTGGATACTAAAGGACTGGAATACTATAGAATTTGTCGTGACAATGGAACTGTGCCACTGGGTGAATTCCGACTTGATATCATCACAGTCATCTGCGCTGACACGGCCAAGCTAAACTAAGTAGCTCAAAGTGGCATCTAAGTCTCTTAAAGAACCATCAAAATCTACAATGTTTTTAGGCTGTAGCCATTTCAAGCACTGGACAAGCTGATTTTTCAGTGGAGATTTAGTCATTAATTTTATGGCTGTTGTTACCAGAAACTTTCTGCTCTCCATCTGGAAGTTTAAAATATCCCTTGATCCCTTGCACTGGCTTTACTCTTAATTTCCTTGACAGCAGATTTGGCTTTAAAACCTATGTCAACTTCTCCAGAAGGCAGAAGATTTTTTATATCTGACAAATCTGCACTATGCAGTGCTGTAACTGAAGTGCATTCTTTAAAAGCAGCTGGTGTCACAAATCTTTGCAACAATGACCGAAGCATGTTGAAGAGGTCTTGGGCCATAAAGGGCAACAGTGGCGCTTCTATTTGATATCTTTTTAAAAAAGGTTGCAAAACCTTTGCAATGGATATGAAGCTTTCAATTTTGGCAATTAGTAGTACATCATCCATACAGCCTTTCAGGTGCTCAAAAGACTTGGTGTTGATTGCCTTTTAGAAGTAATTAAAGACTGAATGAATTCTTTTACGTGGGGCCATACTTTGAGAGCTCTCTCTGCCACCTCAACAATCTCCACACATTGATGCTGACAGTGTTCAAGAGGAAAATCACTGCTGCCAGTTAGTGATGTGAAGTCTTCCCTTCTTGCTGGGGTATCTTTGAAAAGCCAAGACAGCGATGAGAAAAAATGACCCAGTTCCCAACCAGTTAATGCAAGGCCTGCACGAAAAGCATTGTGCATTGTATGAAGCCGACAAACTTTTTTTCTGATGCTTTCTGGAGGTCCTCACTGAGTAATTTGAACAAGGCCCAGTTGACATTGGGGCCATCCATTGATATCTGAACAACACTTTTTCCGTCAAAAGTGAAAGTTTTCACATAATCTTTGGTGAATATCTTGAGCAGTAGAATGACCCAGGAAAGCAGAGCCATAGTATCTTGTAACAACCTAAGTTGAGAAATTCAAAAACATTTAGCATATCGATAGATACAATTATATTCAGTCTTATCTCATTAACAATTCTACAATCATCATTAATATTGAATATTTATTTTCATTATAATTAGATAGCACCCATGCATCTTTAGGTTTAATTTAACCTATTTAGTGTAGGCCTATTTATAATTGAAAAAAAATCAACTCACCTTATCTGTATCCCAGTATCTGACATGCATATCCATTTGTTTCTTGTTTAGTTCTCGATTTAGAGATTCGTCAAACAATAGTACAAAACCATCATTCACTGTTTTGAGCTTGTCTTTTAGAAGATCCTGGAAATAAGTACCAAGCCCAAAAGACACAAGATAGGATATCTTGTCTTTTCCACAAGACATTTTTTTTTAGCTATGTTGATGTCAGGAAACATTCGAGCAAAATGATCAGCAATATCATATCAACTGTTAAATGAGTAATGAGAACACACCACTTTCAAAGCCCATAGTATCTCTGCATTGATTGTCTCCTCTGTGGTCACGTGAGATTTGATTGATGATTGCGCCTGGGTAGACGTAGAGGTTGTTGGTATATTTTGGCTAGGATCAATGACTTGAGCAGCTTGCACCTGTGGGGTTGGTGGCATAGCTGTAGGACAAGTGACAGTTGCTGTAACCGTAGCAGCCTTTTTAGCAAATATGGGTGCAATCATTAAGCAGCCATCTGACTTACCAGACTCTCGCTTGTGTTTATCTGATTTCATATGAGATTTAAGTGCTGCATAATATGTCAATTTGTCTTTTACAATGACGACAAAAGGCTTTGGTGTCACTGACGGATGATTTTTGAAGCCAAGATCTGTAAATATCTTTATCAAGCCAAAGCGCATTAAACGATGTCCCGTATTTAGGCATTGTAATACAAATGTAGATCTAGGTTATAAATTATAGATCTAGATTTGGATTTGAATCTAGTATTCTAGAACAGTCCAATCAGATGATAGAACAATCAAGTCTCAAGACTAGAGCTACGTAACAGACTCTAAATCTCTAGCTTCATTAAAGACTTCATTAAACCAAAGCACAAATCACAATAAACGAAACGTAGATCATATAGATCTAGATCTAGTAATAATAATCTAGTCTAGATATATTTAGATCTAGGCCTAGATCAAATGATTAAATTCACAATGTACAAAGATCTAAGTAATAATATGATCCGATGAAAATATAAAGGCACAAAATGAAACAGGAAAACAGTTTTGAAGATGCGTAACGTAAACTTTAGATCCAATTTGGATGAAAATCAACGTGTTCAAAAAAAAAAAACGATCCAATAACGATGCTTAATATAGTGAAGGAGCAGTAAACACCTGACTCGGAAACGATAATTTCGAATTTATTTCCGCCCGCGCTGGCCCATTTTCTAATTATAATTTTTTTACGCAGATTTTTTTTTCCCGATCGGCGAAATTCCAGGACATTCAAGGAGATATTTTAAAATACCAGGACTTTTGAGTTTGTTTTTTTTAATTCAAGGACATCCTTGAATTTCAGGAGGCTGCACCCTACACTAAAATTCGTGGACTTTTCGCGGCTCTGTGCGAATTATCTTCACTGAATATACCGTAGATCTAGAGTCTAGATCTAAGTCACTAAATTTGCTGGCTTTTCACTTCTGGTACTAATTATCTTCACTAGATTCTAAGTGATTTAGCGTAAATCTAGAATCTAGCATATTTCTAGAGTAATCTAGACATTAGATGTATTGAGATCATTAAATTGACTAAAATTCACTGAGTTTTCAGTTAGGTGCAATTATCTTCACTAGATCTGACTTAGATCTAAATCTAAATACTGGCTAGATCTAGAAGCTTTACAGACTTTCCACACGAAGTCACTCTTACACTTACAACAAGAAGATTTTAGGTGAGGGAGGGCCCGGAGGGGCGTAGCCTACAAATTAGGCTGGTAATAACTTTAATTATAGACAATAGTCACTACAGACTAAATCTAGTGCGCCTTTAGTGCTAACAATAAATGGAAACAAACATTTCTACGCTGACTTCAGAAAAATACTGCCGGGTGAAATGCTTGCCTGAGCCAAGACCATCTCCAATCACGAGGCTTCACAAGTGGGGGAAAGGCGGTGTAGATGCGTCACTGGTCAGCTCATTAACACAGCCAGCCTGTAACGTCATGCGATCAGAATGCCTAGTTACGCTGTTGTTGTTTTTTCCACCCACATTTTTAGCATGAAATAGGCAAAATTATATTTTTAAAAAATTTTTTGGAGAGTGGACAAAATTTTAGGAGACTTTTGGCAATTTTTATGAGAATTTTAGGAGACTTTTCATTTTTTAGGAGTTTATAGGAGCGCTATGAACCCTGATATATACATATTTTTTTTTGAGCTTCTGGGCATGTAGGGTAGCTAGGGAGCAATATAAAGGGTGTAGTTAATCACAGATCTAGTCAGTTCAGTACTATGTTCTTTCAATAAATAACCTTATGTTACATTGAATTGTGTACTTGGACATCCCAATAGTAAAATTTAGCAACTTAACAAAAAAAAAAAGAAATACCTTGAAACCTCTCATAATGATTGGAATGATCACATCACGTTCCTTGTCTGTCATTTTGTTGCTGCAAGTCAACAACATCAACATGTTGTCACAGTCTGTCACACCCATGGCATATAGATCACTCAATACATTAGCGCAAGTTATCTTGCCCTGTTGGATAGAGTTAGTGTACAAATATCTCCTATTAATGATGGAAACATTTTTTTTTCATATTCTGAACCATATTGGTACCACTGACCTTAAAGCAAACATTGGTGATTTTTTTTTTAATTTAGAAGAAAAATGTATATTAATAGAATCTAGAAAATGTTTACCTAAAGTCAATTTATATATATATATACTTTTTTCAATTGTGTATATATAAGAAAATGAATAAAGAAATGCTAACCACTACTGCCATTAACACTGTTAATTTTTTTTTCCATTAATGAATTTAAAACTTAATATGTATGGATTAAATTTAAATTAAAAATATTTAGCTACAACGTCAAACTAAATGTGAAATTATTTTTGTTAATAGATATCAGACCATCATGTAGGGATCATCCACAAGTGGATAAAAAAAATCTGTTGTTTGAACCAAAGAAAGACCACCGTGACGAAGAGGAGTGATAGATGAATCCATTCCAATACCTGAAAGAAGAAAGATTATGCTACTGATGCACTGTCATGTTTTTTCAATTAGGCATACATTTGAAAAATTATAATGTAGTCAGTGTGACATATAAAGGAGATTAACTTTTTGCAGTGAAATAATTGTACTGTCATATGTGTGTTTGTTATTAGAATGGAAGGGCTAAATTTATAGTTTTACTATACCATGGTGAGATTGTGGACAACAGGCCCACATAATAAGTGTAGGGGGTAGAAGAGATGTGTGGCTTTGAAGTTAGTTGTGATCTAGACCCTGAGAGAGCAAGTTGGTGATTGGATTCTGAGAGAATGAAAGTGGACATTTTTTTTAGAGTCGAGACAATGATAGTCCATGTTGGACGATGTATTTGAGTTGAAATAATCGGATGACCTGATGTCTATGTATATATATATGTAGTTAAATAAAGTATTTCATTAACTATAACTCATTGTTGCGTCTCTTTGAAAAGTGTGTTATTACTCCACTAGTAAAGATTAAGATGTCCTGTCGTCAAGAGGATGAATTAGGGCTTGGAGTTGCTTCCCAGTAATCCAACCACCTAGGCAACAAAGGGCCTTATGTAAAGGCGGTTTGTGACAAAATGTTTTTAATTAGGCACGTGTTTGAAATATTATAGCTTACTGTCAAAGTGAGTGTGATATTTTACATCACTATTTAATGTTTTGTGAAAACTACTTAAGGTTATGATTATGAGAACTTAATGTCTACTTTTACTGTCTATAATTCATTTGTGTTTATTAGTCTACATTTATTTATTTTTGTCTACGAACAGAATAGGGGCATAAATTTAACTGTGTGGGATCATTTTTCTTGAACAAACTAGGTGACTTTTTTTCAGTACTGCCGTAATGCATGAAAAATACTTTTTAAAATGAAATCTTGAAAAAAAAAATGTCAATGGTTCACAAATTTAATTTTATAAAAATTTGACAACATAGATGTGTATATTGCAGGGTAAAGAGGATTATCATTGAGTGTGTTACTTGATCACTTTATTTTGTGCAAGAGAAGTTAAATTTTTAGTAAAAAGATGGAAAGATTTAACAATAAAACTTAACACAGAGTATGACATGTATGTAGCCTCTTGTTATTTCTAAAGTACCTTTTAAGAATACGTAGTAATGTACTTTTTATGTAGCATTGTAGGTTTAAACTTCTTTTTATTGTCATTGGAGACAGCAATGAAAAAGGGTACTTTTACTTTAACAATATGCTATTAATTTTAATTTCTTCATTACATAATTCTATTGTAATTATTGTTGATCTTAGTCTTACCCCATCATCATTATGGCAGTCCATTAATTAATTATTAATAATTAAAATCTAGATCATTTGATTTAGAGTCTAGCACTGGCTGAGTGACGATGATACTCTATCTCTAGCAAAGTTAAGTACTAATACTAATAGTAGTACTAGTAGTGAGTACCAGGCTCATTTTTATTATCTTGTTGACTTCCATTTCATTTGATGGATTTTCTCTTTAATTTCTAGTCTCAATAAATATTTGGCTTTACTCATTTTAGGCAGGCTAGGGTGGGCCTATTATAAAGTCACAGTGATGTTTAATTTTTTGCTTTTAGTGAGACATCTAGAATTCTGTTAGATTAGAGGTCTATCAAGTCTATGTAGCCTTGTTATCTCATTAGATGATTAGGATTATTCTGTTTTAACGGTATTAAAACAGGAGTTACATCACAGAGTTATGCCCTTGTCATGCTTAAAACAAAATATTGGTAAAGGAAAAAAAAAAAAAAGGTCTGGTTGACGATTCGCCATGTTGGCTTTACGAAGTTAGAAAGGGTAAATTCTTTCAACTCAAAAATCAATAAAATACCATGTTACAAACTTTTGTTTTTTAGCAAAATAAATATTGAAATTTGTAATGTTAACTTATTTTACTTGTTAGACTTGTACAATAGTTAAAACGTAATAAAATTCAATAAGTTTTCTAGCTTGGGAAATCGAATTATGATTATCTCATTATTATCTAGGAAAGTGGTAATGTCAAGCAAAATACGTTGGCTGTACAGAACTGATATGCACTTACCGATTCGCGGAGATGGTGCTCCATACTGGAAATGCGCCTGCTCCGCGTCCTGGGCATTGCTGTCCTGAGTAAGTCCCTCAAGAAGCTTGAGCAAAACTTCTTGAGAGACTTTACACCCTCATCCCTTTAGGTCAGCAAATTTTGTGAGTCGGAAATTGGGATCCAACTCGTGTGCCAACGGATCAAACGGACGGCGCATTTCCATATTTTACTGTTTTGGTTTAGAACCTGGGATTATTGCCTGAAAATATTTTTGAAAAAACAATAAATATATCAAAGGATGCTCTGATTTCCAAAATTTAATAGTCCTATTACAGTTTAAAAAGAAAAATAACATTCCGATTTACACACTAACTTACCTCAAAAAATGGCTACCTCCCGGCAAGGCAAAAAATGCCCGTATGTAGTTTAGTTATGGCGTTTTTTTCTTATACGCCAAGCAACGCGACCTTGAAAGGGATCCTTCATTGTAAAGTATATTTTTGAGTAATATGAAATATTTTCAGCTTTAATTTGTTTTTTATAATTACACAACAATTTTTAATAATTAACGAATCAACGGTTTATTGAACATAAACTAATGAGTTTTTCGTTCGAATACAAAAACTTTTAATACACTCTTGCATGCTTTTGAAGTAACGTCTGTAATTATATAAGATAAGATAAGATTTATATGATAATATTCGTTTTACAAAATCATTAGGCTAAGTGTCAATAATTAGCATAGATCTACATGCATCTGTGGATTGTGACTTGTGACATGTGTGACCTCTTAGACATAATCGTCTAATGTTAATTAATTTATGAAGTAACTATTATAGCATTCATCACCGGCAGTGGCGAAGCAAAATGGTGCGCCCGGGCCCACGGGTTCTTGAAATGAAAACAAAAAATGTATAGGCCTACTTAAAGAATTTAAAGGTTTCAAATTATTTTACTTACATCTAATAATAAATCCACCTATATATCCCTTTCTGCCCCCAATCATTTTGCTAACTGGTCCAGATAAGTGATCTTCTTATCTTATATAATACAGACGTTACCTCAAAAAAATAAAGAAGATGATTATACGTCCTACGGTAGTACGTATAATCATCTAGTCCTAAGTAGCGTCTAGAAAAAAGCTAAAATATTAAGCAGTAAATAGCGCTTAACAAAACAATTGCTAAAATATTTTTAATCCCACAGATTTATTGTTGTTGGTTTAGATCTATTACAAATTTAAAATTTAATTACATGGCTGATATATAAATATAAAATATATAAGTAGAAGAAGAATTAATACAATTAGGCCTACACTTCGAAAAAGCTTTTTCTAGTTTTAAAATTGCATCCTTTAGATCTGTTTGCTGTCCAACACGGTTTTCTGTTAGTAAGCCCTCTCATATTTTTTTTTTTTTTTGGGTACTTCCAATGAAACGGTCTGGATTTCGTCGCTTCCCAATTATTTTACTTTTGGGCCGTAAATTCCAGTATCCATTTTGTTCAATTGGAAAGGCCCACTTTATATTTTTAGTCTACCGCAAGTGGGAAAAATAATTATAAAGGAGTTATAATGAGTCGGGGCCTTTCAAATTTATTTTAAACTAGCAGTACACACCAGCTACGCCCGTTGATCTGTTCCGGGGCTCTATACCCTCGTTTTCTTTATTTTTTTTTTTTTAAATTTCAAATAAACGGGCCACATTTTAACGATCCCTCTAACATACGTTTTAGCCTATGAATAAGTGTATGTGTATCAATGAAATGAAACGGCCCTCTCTCTCTCTCTTTCTCTTTCCGTCTCTCTCTATCTTTCTCTTTCTGAGAAGCGTGCGCTAGAACTTAGCTTGGCTTGGCTACCTACCTATGAAGGGGTCTCGAGCGAGGTTCGACACCCTACTCGGGCAGAGTTGTGTTTACTGAGTGTCTAAAAGCAGCACGGAAAAACCTTCTCCTAGATACCCCCTACCCCCCCCCCCCCGGTCTACAACTGAGATTGAACCAAAGCATGAAAGTAGCGCTATATACAAGCCATAATAATAATTATTATTATTATTCTGGAGACTAAATTTTTGTTATTTTTGTTCATCCTAATTTTTCCGACATAGACATTTGACTTGACTTGACTTGGAAAGACTCGCTTTGTAACACCCTCCACGACAAACATACGCACATACGCTTTTGGCCCTATCTCTTTATTTATCTTACCTCCCTCCTGCTACCTCCGCCCTCACAACAAAAAAGTTAGTACTATGTACAATATCTTATTTTCTTCGGCTTCTCAATTCCATATTTAATATACCCGAGGTTGCTTTTCGACCGTACCCCCCCCCCCCCCCCCCCCCAAGATTTCACACCGCCCCTTTTTTATTACTAAGACAACCATTAAACCCGTCACCACACACTTTCCAGATTTTGAATTTTCCTTTACATACCTATGTATAATGCATGTAGTTATAAATATTAAAATTAATTGCTTTAGGATAATTAAATAGACACCAACTGAAAATCCATTACCGATAAAAAACGCCAAAAGAGAACCTAAATGGACTACCGCAAGACAACGGTATAGTATCTGAGAATGTGGCAAAATATGTAGGTCGTATTAATTGCTGTTTTATATAGAGAATGTATTATTAAGGGGTAATAAGCCTTGCTTAGATAATTAGGTCATTGACTAAAAAGTGTAAACATCCCTCTAAGGCTCTATGTCTACTAGCCTAGCTCTAAGAGCAGAACTCTATGGCACTGTCTACTAGCCTAGATCTAAGAGCAGAACTCTATGGCTCTGTGTCTACTAGCTTAGCTCTAAGAGCAGAACTCTATGGCTCTATGTCTGCTAGCTTAGCTCTAAGAGCAGAACTCTATG